AAATGAGATAATACATATATGAAATACTATAATAATAAAATAAAATAATAATAATAAAATACGTTGTAATAAAAATAAAAAATAAAGAAATAGGGTCAACACTGTTAAAAGCCAATGGAAATTATAATTGGCAAAGTCAGGAGTTAACCTTAAGATGGAGGAATCAACACTTGGTTTTACCTACCTCTTGTATACGAGGAAATTTAGCAGAAATCCCTGAAACTACTAGTGAAGAGGAAAGTGAAACATTTGATGAAAAAATTGAAAGTGATAACTAGCATGAAAATAAATCTTCCAAAATTGAGAAAGATGACGAAGATGAAATTTTTAAAGACTGTATTGAATATTCTGAAGAGGAAATGAATTTTTCCAAAGGAAATGAAAATGAAAGTGATGATAATAAAGAAATGAAATTAAAAATGATACAGAAAGTAATAATTCAGATTCTATTGAGTTTGAAGATAAGGAAAGTAATTCAGAATCAGAATCTGAAAGTGATAGTGATAATGATAAGGAAATTTTAGATGAAATTCCAGTAATAATGGGAGACTCATTAGTTAAAACTGAATTAAATGTTGATACTTTAAGTACTAAACAACAAGAACAATCAGTTACTTGAAGAAAATCAAGATATGTTTGCAACAGATATTAGTTAATTAGGATGAACAAATATTATTCAATATAAAATTGACACTGGAATTGAGAAACCTGTAAAGCAAAGATTTTACCGTTTCAATCCAATTGAAGAATAATTTATAGAGGAAGAAATCCAACGACTACTACAAAAAGAACTAGTTGTGAAATCCTTTAGCCCTTGGGCTTCCCCAATAGTTGTTGTGGGTAAAAAGAATGGAAAACAATGTCTATGTGTTAATTATAGGAAAGTGAATGCCCTTATAAAAAAGGATGCTTATTCTATCCCTCGTATAGATGATATATTAAGCGCAATGCAAGGTGCAAAATGGTTTATCACTCTTGATTTAGCGAGTGGATACTGGCAAGTTGAAATGGACCTTAGTGATAAGGAGAAAACTACTTTTATTGTAAACAAAGAATCTATGAATTCACAGTAATAACTAATGCTCCAGCTACTTTCCAACAGCTTATGAATCAAGTTTTTAATGGATTATTATATAAAGATATTATTGTCTATTTGGATGATATTAATATTTATTTCAAAACATTTGAAGAACACCTGGAGAAATTAAAAGAAGTATTA